CAGAATAGTAGAAGTTGTGGTTGGCCGAGTGGTTACAACGCCAGGCTGTCATGCTGGAAACATGGATTTGACTCCTAGTAAGATGGTGGAGTTTTTCTGTCGGTGGCAAAATTAAACATGCTAACCTGAACAGTCCATGGCGACAGCACTATTCATGCTGCGCTAAATCCTATAGCTCACGAACTGCCGTATACACTGATTTTGGAAGGTTCTAATACAGACAGTAGTGCATTTAAAAAAAAAATTTTTTTTGGATTTTTTGTTTGTTGTGGTGCTAGTGGTGGTAATAATAGTTTTACCGGTACTTGATGGGTTGTGAAGTAAATATACACTGGCAAAATTTACTATTCATTGTAATTCTTGTTACTCATTTTAGTCTGCGCTGACACAGATGCCAAGGTCAATTAAAAAAAATATCAGGTGATGAATTTCAAATCCTAAGGAGACGGAGAGAGGAATAGTTGATGGAGTGAGGCAAAAAAAAGAGGGGGGGGGGAGAGAGAGAGAGAGAGCTGACAAAAATTGTTGACTGCGAGAGCTAAAAACATGATTTTACATTTTTCATTTTTTTTTAAATTTCGATATGGCAACCTTAACTATTCTCTCTCTCTCTTTCTCTCTCTCTCTCTCTCTCTCTCTCTCTCTCTCTCTCTCTGTGTGTGTGTGTGTGTGTGTGTGTGTGTGTGAGCGTGTGTCCGCGAATTTGTTCGTGTTTTAGAATTTCTGTTGTAAGCTTTACTTTCAGCACTTTAAAAAAAAAAGAAGCTTTTGCGTGTGATAAAAATTTACCATTTTTGTTTACTCTTAATATTATGAAAACTATTATAAAGTCACAATTTTATGTTGCTTGTCCTAGAAACGGGAAACCAGCACTACCTACTTGTCTCTAGGCAGAAATTAATTTCAAAATTAACAATATTAGACACCTGCTCTTTCTGTTTTCTCTTCTTTCCATTTAGCCAAACTGAGCCACAGCAACGCGTTGCCGGGTACAGCTAGTATGAAATAAACAGATACATATTTATGTTAATTAGAAATGTCGAGAAACACAAGCTGTTCCAGGCGGTCAAGGTGAGGATATCATTACTGGTTTGCATTATGAAAGAAAAAAGATTAGAGCGATCTGAACATAAATACTTCTTCTTCTTCTTCACTTCCTCTTTTACCGCTGTGGGTGTCGAGGGAGATATGAGGTTCTGTTTCTGGCTCCTCTGGCCGCCTCGACCATAGGCACATCGTGCTGTTGTAGAGCTTCTCTGATGTTATCCTTCCATCTTGTTCTTGGTCTACCTCTTGCTCTACGACCTTCTTCTCTTTCCATGTATGCTTTGTATGGTATGGTGTCACAAGGCATTCTCTCCAAGTGGGCAAACCATTTCACATGCTGTCTTTGTATGTAATTTAGAATTTGTTCTGTGCCGACTTTTTCTCTTATGATCTCGTTCCTGATCTTATCTCTTATGGTCACTCCTACAGCCCTTCTTAGACATCTCATTTCCGTGGTTACTAATTTTCTTTTATGGTTTGTTGTGAGTGACCATGTCTGGCACTGGTAGCACAGAGTTGGAATAAATATGCTTTGAATAAGATGTCTCTTTGTGCTGATTGGGGTTGTCTTATGCTGAAAGAGGGGAGCTAGCTGTCCCAATACTTGGTTTGCTTTACTGCATCTAATGTTAATTTCTTTATCCAATTTCCCATCTTCGGTAAATGTAGTTCCCAGATATTTAAACTCAGATGCCTTTGTTCTCTATTGCTATGTTTAGACCTGTCTTCTTTTTTCCTATTGACTACTGATGCATTTAAATATGGCTGGAAACCGCTGTGGTGTAGCGATTAGACCTCCTCCCCGCCCCCCCCCCCCCCCCCCCCCCCCCCCCAACCAAAAAAAAAAAAAAAAAACTTGGCTCCCGGATCGACCCAGCCTTAAACAGATACAGGGTATAAGTAAAGTAAAGTAAAGATCCCTTTCACGCCTTTAGGCGTATCGGGTATATGGGAAGAGCGCCCATATTTTTACAGACCATCAGCACTCCGTGGGTAATGTGGTCAGCATTACGCCGGCTGTCTTTACTTTCACAGGACAGCCCATCCTGGTACCCATTTTAGGCTGGGTCTACCTGCGACGTCCCATACCACGATACAAATCCACGCAGCCCGCAGTGGGTTTCGATCGCGGTACGTTGGATTACGAGTCGGACTCGCAACGCCTTAGTAAATTCGGCATGTGTGATATTGACTACATCACTCACCTAGTGCGGACTCGTCTACAAAATATAGGTCTAGCCTTACATGTCCGAAACCCATAAAACGGGGAAAAGGGTCGCCCCCATTACTTTACTCTACTTCATAATTTTTTTTTTTTTTTAGTATCCAGAAGCCATGAGTTGTTAACCCTAAGGCTCGGTATTGTGAAACGCAACCCTTAGGCCTTAATTCCATGATAAATATGGTACATCTGGGAGAAATGCGGATTTTTTGCCTACCCCCTGGGCGTGAACCCGGACCACAAAGAGTTGGTCACCCGGTCACCGCGCAGTCCGAATTAGCCAACTATGCTAGAGAGCGGGACGCTTCACAAAATAAGGCCACTTATTTTAGTTTTCGTGACTCAACGGAAGAAAAGACATAAGGTACCATCAGTATGGAAACTTTTCATAAGCTAGTAAGGACAGAGACGGAACTAACATGAGCTCGTCCTGAAAGCTATCATGTCGAATCCCTACCTAGATGAGCCCAGTTTCAGTATAAATGTTCTAATTGGATATAGCCATATTTCTGACAAATGTAAGAGAGAAATCACAACCAAGCAGGTAATGAGATAAATTGCTGGAAGTGACAGTGTTTTTCAAAGTATGTATCACTCGGCTCACCACTGGGAAATGTGGTATCCGTCCTGTTGTTTGGGTTTCACCTCGGCTGTCTCGTGTATTTCCACCATGCCTTTTCACAAACAACACATATTACAGATTGGGAGAAACAAGAAATAAACAATGACACACACCTTCCACGCCATAAATAATACAATGACGTGTACACTGAACGAGGAAGAGTAAAAATGCAACAACAACAAAAAACTAAATTTTGCCTTTGTATTTTCTAATACATTTTTTTAAATTTTAAATTCGTTTCATAAGCTACTATTGTTGTGCCGTCTCCATAACAGAGGTTTCTTACAATGCTTACATTGTTGGGTTTTAAGAGTTATATATTATGCCGCGCCTGTTCTCTTCCAAGGTGCGACATTTGCACTACCATATCATAGAAAGTGTGAAACGCGCTAGAGTTTACGCCATTCAGCCTTCTCAGTTATGTCAGGGAACTTTGGCATCAACTAACAAAATGATGAAATAATAAGAAATTAAATGGTTTCTTAAAATTAAAAAAAAAAAAAAAAAAAAACTGTTCGGTACTATTCCCGAAAGTCACCCCATCTCGTTCGACTGTGAGATTTCGTGGCGGTTCCCATTAGCCTTCGTTTTGAATGTTTTCAACACACCCACCAGTGCCGATGGGAGCCACAACCAGCGAGCGAACAAAATACAAAAGTATCCAGCCTTCGGCGGTTTCCCCCTGCAGTATTTCTTCTTTACTCTAAGGGGTCTGGGGCACCTGGGCTACCCAAAACAACAAAACATTATTCAAACAACAGTCGTTCACAGTAAAGACAGTTGCAAAAATAAAGCTGCGCACCTTTATCTCGGACACAGTATGTCAACAGCGTCAAACGAACGTGAGCCAGTTTTCAGCACGATGTGTATAGACGGCGAAGGATGGCATCTCATAACACCGCTAGACAATGGACAGTCCTTCGGACAGCCCACGAAATCACGAAGCTGAACGAGATGGGATGACTTTGGTGAGTAGTACAATGGTTGTCCTGCTAAACTAATCAGAGACTTGCCTTTGTGATTCTCAGATTAAAAAGCAGCCATTGAATGGTCACATTGACCGCTGAGGTATGACTCAATAGACTGTCCGTTGCTGCAGGTGCCGTCAATGCCCTGAGAATATTCAAGGGAAGTAAACCACTGAACTAGCTTATGGAAAACAGGACAAGGACAAGCCAATGGTTTGGTCGTGGAAAACTGTACATCTGTTTGAGGACTCAACAGTGCGAAAGCTAAAGGTATTTCTGTCAGTTGTGAACGTTGAATGTTGAAGTATCGCAAAGATACCAGATCTGAGAATGCTTCAGGTGAGATTGTTGAGATTGGATTATTATCGACATTTAACCAGCTTAGGAGATTGAGGTTTCTGAAAGTGGTATTTGTAATGATAGTTAGATCGTTGCTGCCCAGCTCTAGTCGTGTGATACTCGACGGGAACGAATTGGGTTTAATGTCGGTAATTACGTTGTAAGTCAATAACAATTCGGAAAGCCCGGACAGGTTAGCAATAACTGTTGGTACAGATGACAGATTATTACTGTAAATATTCAGTGACGTTAATGATATTGGAAGTAAGCCAGCGGGTATATCCGATAGTATGTTATCAGATAAATTAATGTTTTCCAGATTTGTCAAGTTTGAAAAATTTACCATTCTGGTCAACCCAACTGAATCTAAATTTAAACGTGACAGTTTCTGAGAAAATGGTAAGCCATTTATCTTTTCAATTTCTGATGCGTCTTTGAAAGTGTTAGAACTTAAATCTAGGTCAGTCAGGTTTGAGAGTGTGGACAACGCTTTTGGCACGCGAGTAAGACCAGTAAATGAAAGGGCAAGATCTGTGAGTGTGTCTTTGACTCCGCTAAAGGCGTCGTCAGGAACAGAATACAAGTAGTTCCTGCTCAAGTCGAGCTTACGTAGCAACTGAAAGTCAGAAAGCCAACTTGGCCAGGTGGATAAACCCACGTCACTTAGTTCAAGGCTCTCAACTGTAGCAGCGATATGTTTCAGAATATCAAGATCCCAGTTCTGTATCTTAGCACCGGTAATTGTTAGATCGGTCAGTGCGGTCAGACTCTTTAGTGATAGTGGTAGCTTGGTGAACTTTGCGTTGGTAATGTGTAGCAGTTGTAGCGTTCCTGCTGACGTGTCTAAGGCGTCGTCAGAAATACTAGTAAGGGGGAGACTATTCAGATAGATTTTTGTAAGACCAGGTGGCAGATTATTGGTGGCTATAGTTGTTAACAATCCATTCTGAAAATAAAGAAAACAATTGAAAAACAAAAATAATTTATTTATGTTGACATAGAAAAACAATATTGAGTACAGGAAAAGTATTAGTGATAAGTAAATTAATTATAGCAACTAGTCTTTATCGTCACAGGGTCCAGACACTTAAGCCAAAGTAAAGTATAATAATATTAATGTAGATTTAACAAATTATTTTGATTCATTACTAACTTATACTGGGAACGCCTTGGCTTCCATGTTTACCAAGCCTAAAATGGGTATCAGTTGAAGTTATAACAAGTACATGTGGCAGGCGGGATGTTGACAACATCGTCCACTCAATGCCACTTATACTGTAACATATAGTCCTAGTGTTGTATGTCAAAAATGTCTAGGGATTTAAAACATGGTAGGTGGTGGGTGCTTTGTTGGGTAAAAAATCCCCACTTTTAACCAGCATCTCTAAGGGGGGAATCTTTAGGTTATAATTGTGACTAGGTTATGTGCTCCACATCAAATGGCTTTGCTTTGAATCCACTAAGAACCCTGAAACAGACTCCTGCAGTGTTGATGACATCAAAGAAGACAGGCCCAAAGACTGACTCGACCGGCGACGAAGTTGTCTACCGGCGAGCCAATGGCGACCCGTTCGCCGATGCGGTAGAAAATGGTCTTTTACTTTTTTTTTTACCTGGATAAATAGCAACAGTTGGATTCAACGACATTTACACACCACAGTTGGCCTTTTTAATATACATAAAGCAAATTTTAAAAATTCCTAGAATAGACTGGACTGAACATTAGTGGACGATTAAACGTGAAGAATTGCTTGTATTGAATATCAATGGCGATTAAACGTGAAGAATTACTTGTAGTGAATATCAAAGGCGATTAAACGTGAAGAATTGCTTGTATAGAACATCAATGGCGATTATACCTGGAGAATTGCTTGGATTGAATATTAATGGACGATTCTACCTTGAGAATTGTCTGGGGTGAATATCAATGGAAGATAAAACCCGGAGAATTTCCTGGATTGAATATAAATTGAGGACTGACAGTCAAAGCGGGCAAGCAACCTGTAAAAAAAGGACAAAGAGGAGCGAATATACTGAACGTCTGGCACAAAGGATTAGGCCGGAATCATATACAACACTATAAACACAAGAAGCATCAACCACAGATGAGAAGGCAGAGACAATAATAAACAATTAAAATGAGAAGACTGTAATGGTGTGGATGGTGATGCAGATGAGGATAACGTTTGTAACAATGGTGATTATGATGATGATCATGTTTATGGAAGTGCCTTTGCCACATGTGCAAAACGTGCCTCTCTTTATCGATATCTTATCAGTCTGATCCACCAGTTTTTCATTCCGACCCTAAATTGAGGATGCCTTTACTTATGAATACCCAAACTTACGATAACCTGCCATCTGCTGTCAAAACGTCAGGTTTTTTCGTCATGTGTATATTTTTCCCTTCTCCTCTATGGGAATTAATTTCCTTAAATACCTAATTATTCGTTTCTCCCGTTTTCATAATAGTATAACTTTTCGAAAGTGATCGATGTGGACTCGGAACATGTTGGCCTTAGTTTATAAAAGCCGTTTTCCTCGAGAACACGAGAGTTTCCGCCATGATGAGGGAGTGCAAAAGTGTAGCTGTGTCAACCTCGACTAATCTGGCAACATCAGAGTTGAAATTTTCCTAATGGTAGTTACTCCATGACTTGTTCAGTGATGATCAAATCGCATATTTATAGCAGGAAAGTTTTTTTGTAATTCCATGCTTCTTCCAGAATACATTTGACATTTTGTGTGTGTGATGTAATCAATATTTTCATTAGAACAGTGTTGGCTTCACCAAGTCTGCCGCTCTTAAAGTTATATCTTAGTAACTGTGCTGTGTTGACTAATTTAAATTGCTACATATTTGGATCTCGATTCATGTTGATACAATCACCACGCAGAAAACCACCATACTGTGTGACGATGTGTGGTCATGTTTCTACGTCGTAAATAAAAAATCTATTGCATCTTTATCTTTTTTTATGGGGTGATTAATAGGCAACTAAAGGACAACTAGCTACTATAGTTTGGAAATGGACTAAACGTGAAGCATTGTAGATTTGACCATGAGAGAATGGAAGCATAATTACTTTTTATGAGATTTGAATATATGTGTGTATCATTAGTGTTGTAATATGTTTTTATGACATATAAAATAACTTACTGGATTAACATAATGTTTATGGCGCTAGATTATATGGATTAAAAATAATTAATTACAAAGAGTATGAAATGATAAAGATTAGCTGATATTTTTGATAAATGAAATGCAAGTCACTTCTTAATTGGTCTGTTATGTCTTATTGTTGGAAGCATGATGTTACATTGCTGTTATGTCTCATTGTTGGAAGCATGATGTGACACTGTGTGTTATGATTCATTATTGGATGCATGATGTGACATTGCTGTTATGTCTCATTGTTGGAAGCATGATGTTACATTGCTGTTATGTCTCATTGTTGGAAGCATGATGTGACACTGTGTGTTATGATTCATTATTGGAAGCCTGATGTGACATTGCTGTTATGTCTCATTGTTGGAAGCCTGATGTGACATTGCTGTTATGTCTCATTGTTTGAAGCATGATGTGATACTGTGTGTTATATTTCATTATTGAATGTATGATGTGACATTGCTGTTATGTCTCATTGTTGGAAGCATGATGTGACATTGCTGTTATGGCTCATTGTTGAAAGCCTGATGTGACATTGCTGTTATGTCTCATTGTTTGAAGCATGATGTGATACTGTGTGTTATATTTCATTATTGAATGAATGATGTGACATTGCTGTTATGTCTCATTGTTGGAAGCATGATGTGACACTGTGTGTTATGTTTCATTATTGGATTCATGATGTGACATTTATGTTATGTCTCATTGCTGCAAGCATAATGTGACATTGCTGTTATGTCTCATTGTTGGAAGCATGATGTGACATTGCTGTTATGTCTTATTGTTGGAAGTATGATGTGACATTGCTGTTATGTCTTATTGTTGGAAGCATGATGTGACATTGCTGTTATGTCTTATTGTTGGAAACATAATGTGACATTGCTGTTATGTCTCATTGTTGGAAGTATGATGTGACATTGCTGTTATGTCTCATTGTTGGAAGTATGATGTGACATTGCTGTTATCTCTTATTGTTGGAAGCATGATGTGACATTGCTGTTATTTCTTATTGTTGGAAGTATGATGTGACGCTGTGTGTTATGTCTCATTGTTGCAAGCATAATGTGACATTGCTGGTGTGTCTCATTGTTGCAAACATAATGTGACAATGTCTGTTTTGTCTCATTGTTTGAAGCATGATGTGACACTGTCTGTTATGCAAGCATGATGTGACATTGTGAAACATGTTGATTACACGCGATGCCTAATACATATGTGTGTGCCAAATATTGTTTAATGCTATGCAATTTGTACACATGAACAATGAATTGTTAAACGCGTGTTACCTTGTTCGTTTATCTATTTGCATGCGGTAGCACTGCCTTGGTAAAATGTTGGGTGTTTAGTTGTAGTGTTAGTGTTGGGTTGCCTAGAAGATTGTAATAACGTATTGTGATGTATACTAAAGTTTATCTCAATCTTGTGTTTGAGATTCCTTGTCAGTCATTGAATAGTTGAATTGAATATATCTTGATGTATGAAAGGAATATGTTTGTTCTATCATTACCTGATATCTGTTTAATGCACTGTTGAGCCAAAGTGGCCATTTTGTAAGTATAGCAAGTATAACAAAGACATTGTTTGTACCAGTATTGACACTAAGTTTAATTTTGTTCACTGTGGTATGTTAGATTCGCTCCTTATTGCAAATGTAGTTATTGTCCTTGTCAAAACTTAAGTTTCCTAGCTCTAGTGCCCTTAGTAAAGAACAGTCAGCCAGCGACTGCTTTGGTTTCAGGTACCTGCCAGTCTCTGTCGTAGCAAGATCTCGCCTTTTCTCCCTTATCTGTCGAGAAGTCAGACGGCCTCGTTTACGTCTCTTGTTCTTCTCATCCTTACCGTCATCTTTTTTCCATCTGTCTCAGATATTTATGTGGGCTCTTTATTTTTAAGATATAAACTAACTCCTGTCTCAACCCAATGGTCTTAAACATTTACATAATGTGAAAAGAAGCAGATCTGATTACTTGAAAACAATAACAGAAAACTTACGTTAACTATGAAGGATGTTACTTGATTCACATTGGCTCCCGTGTTCAGTTGTGGGAGTTGTGGGAGATTTGAACATGTTATATAGTCGTCGCCACACGTACATTTCTGTAGACACACGGACGTTAAATATGAGACGATGAGGTCAAACCTAATACACGGATTCTAGAGGCTGGTTGAGAGGGGCTAGTTTACAAATGGCACTCCCTGAACAATTAAAGTCCACTAGCCCACAACACTGATAGCACAGTCATGTGGCAATTTATCTGACGTAATTACACCCTTAACCTCTATTAGCATAAGACCATGCTTCCATAGTGTTATTGCACCAACTGTAGTGAACCTGTAAAGATATGTTCCTATCGTACCTTGATAAAATAATGATATGTTACCATGTGTCCTTAATGCCTTGTCTACAAATATGTTATTTAATTGTTACCTCGTAAGACCCGTGTTATTTCTACTGTTGAACGATTTCCTTGGTTTTAATGTGGTGCTAAACATGACTGATATAACCACGCCCATGAGTCACCATATGTCAGCATCTTCTACGAGTTATGAGCTGAGTTTTCTTGACAGCACTCCAGTCAGATTGTCTCTTTAACATATATATTATCGTCTTGAGGTTAAAAGTCATATGCTGG